CGAAACGAAGAAAAACAGAGGATGAGAAGAGATAAAGGCCCGTATAGGAGCTAACACGCGGGATGAGCGGGAGGGGGAGATGAGTCGAGGAGGCGAGAAATGGTGGTGGGGTGTAGAGCGAAAGGGAGGAAGGGGTCTGAGAGTGAGAGGACTCGAAAGAGCGGCAGCGGTAATGACAGGCCGCCCGCTCTCGAAGCTAATATAGATGAATGCCCTGCCCTCCTCCTCCTCCTCCTTCTTCAACTTCTTCTTCTTCACCGCCACCTTCTCATCGTGGCCTGCAGCGCCAAGGACTAGTGAATAAGAGGGAAAAAGAGAGCAGTACGATGATATTTGGAGGAAGGGGACAGAGAAGGAGGAAGAAGAACGAGGGAGATAGCGAAGGTACGCGCACCAGTTGGCTACAAAAAAGCTTCTATATACGCGCAAGGGTGATCGGCCGACGGGACGGGGCGAGGAGGGAGGCGCGGCGGAGAAAGAGTAGACAAGAGAAGAGAGAAGAGGGTCTTTCAGCGTCCCGATGAAAGAGGAGTAAAAAGTTACGGGCCACCACCTCCCTCCCGACGACGAGGGTGAAGGAAAAGAAAAAAACTGGCGGCGAGGAGCATCTATCTATCAGCGCCGGCGCGAAGTGGGCGTTGCGCATGCGCGCCGTATTGCCCCGGTAAGTGCCGCTCTCTCATTAACTCGGCGCGCCGCCGCCGAAGTCGCGCGAATGCTCGAGTCTCAAGCGAAGAGGTGCAGAAAGTATGAGAGAAAAAGAACGACGGAGAGGATGAAGGAGCGAGCGAGACGGCGAATGATGACGTGGATAAGGGGAGCGTGGCGGTGGCAGAGGGAGCGGGAGAGGGTGTGAGGGCGTTATTGGCAAGGATGCATTAGCCGAGAATCCGCGTGACGTGTGTCTGAAGGAGGCTCCGGGCGCATGCGTGTGTGCGAGGTGTAAGGCTTTAATATGCCTCAGAGACCTCCCGATAATTTCGAAGCTCTCCTGCCCTCTCCTGCCCTCTCCTGCCCGCTCCTAGCCGCTCGCCGGGCCGCCGGCTACCTCCGACCACTTTTCGGGCCCGGGCCCGCCGCGGTCGCTCGACCTCCTCCCAACACCTCTTGCACCGGATTTCGGACGATTATCGCGAGACGTCCTGCTAATAAGCGCAATCAATCCATCCCCGATAATTGAAACGTTCTAATAGCTCGAGGCGCGAGGCTCCCCACACCCCCTCCCCCATCCAACCACCCACTGACCCCGCTCCTGCCCCTCCTACGTATTGTTCGCTGCTCGCTTTCCCGGCCGCACAAGCACCAGTCTTTATGCTTCCCACCTCTCACCTTATCGCCACCGATCGACGCGAATTTTAAAATCAACCGGATCCGCCCCTATTGCACCGCCATTATTGCCCCGAGTATATGGGTCCGCGCTAACAACCTCATCTACGAGCGCATTAGCTATAGGCGGTCTCGTGTAACAACTCGTATACGACCAGACTTTCCCCGAGTGAGAAGTAGCGTTAACGACACGAGTGACTCGGCAGTATTTTGCTGGACCAGGATCGTGGAGCATCTCGTAGCCGACGGAGGTGTTGATTTGAGGTAGTATCGCGGCGCGCCTTCGACAATCAAGACCTCCGTAGTGTCGTGAGTCGGCAAGGGGAAGCGGTGCCATCGGTGACCCGCGCCCGTAACATCGGTCCCCGCGATCGACATCTCGCGGCTTATCCACCTCCGCATTTACATTTGTAAGCGCCGCCGATTATTCAAGAGATACAGCCTCGTTAAGGTCGGCTGTGACCCAGCTATTATTTCCTCCCGGGAATCCACCCCCCACCCCCTCCATAACAGTCGCTCGTGTAACGAAATCCCCAAAGAATCCAATTACACGGTTGCAGTGGCTATGCGTGAAACGTCCGCCGTCCCACAATGACAATTTCCGAGCGACATTGTAGCGTTCGAGCAGTGGCAGTCTCTACATAACTTTCACTATCCGCCTTCGTGGCGAATAAATATTATCCAACGATCAATCGAAAGCTCTCGCTCGGCTTGCGACTCGCCGCGAGACCAACGATATTTCGCCACCGTCGATTAAACCATCCTCCCTTTTCTCCTCACCCCCGTTTTACAAAGCACAAGCGAGGGCACACGTATGATGGCTTATCGTCGTACTCGCAGTCGTTGGCGCACGACCAGTGGGGAGCGCAGAGCGAAAAAATTAATTTTCTCTCCAGGCACAGGAGGATTCTATAAAAAAAGTAAATGAGAGCGCTGCGAGGGAGGATGGTGATGGAGGTAGTAGTGGTGGTCGCGGTAGATGCGTGTGCAAAAACGTAAAAGATTTGATTGCATTTTAATAGCGCATTTAATGTGATTCTCGTGGAGGACGGCGTGGTGGCCGAAAGCGTGAGGTAGGCGAAGACGAGGGCGTCGAAAAACGATACAAACTGTCGATGGTGTAATTCAAACGAGCCGGATCGAATGGCACTTTGCACGCTCTCCTCCGGGCCTTTATGAATCTTGGAAATAGAAGGAACGCGCGCGCGAGAATTAGCCCCGCGACGGGGAGCGAGTAAGAAAAAGGAAGAAATGAGAAAAGCCAGGAGCGGAAGGCGCGGAATTATGAAGTTGAATTGTTGGCGGTGGTGGTGGTGGTGGTGGTGGTGGTGGTGGTTGACTGGTGAGGGGCGGGGAGATGGAGAGCTATAGGGGGATATGGTGGATTGGGGGTGGGGTTGGTGAGGGAGGTATGGTTGTTGCGGGTTGGGAGGGGATATGGGAGGGACGGGGGAGAAAGAGAGAGAGATAGAGAGAGAGAGAGAGAGAGAGAGAGAGAGAGAAAGAGAGAGAGAGAAAGAGAGAGAGAGAAAGAGAGAGAGAGAGAGAGCAGCAGCAGCGTTTGCACTGGGTCGCGTTGCCGGCGAAATGAGCGAAACGCGGGGACGTGGAATAACAAAGCGCGAAAAACGATATGAGAGAGCGAAAACGAGAAGAGGCAAATCCAAGGGTGTCGTGTTTCGCAATTTCGCGGCGCGGTGCACGTGCGCGATTTCGGCTGCATCGATTTTGCCGTCAGCCGCGAGAGTGAGACATCCGCGGCCGGAAATCGCGTGAGAAATTCGCGAGACGATCACGAGTCTCGATTGCCGAGTCATCGGCGCCCCGCTAAAATTTCACAAAAACTTCACCCCTCTTTTCGCCCTTCCCCCTACTCCACCGTCGCGCGCACGCATACGCAGGCGCCAATAATTTTACGCGCAGAAAATTAGTTTCCGCTGCAGTTTATGCGCGTTACGCTCCTGTCGAATTAGTCGGTGCGTGCTCTCCAGCCTTAGGAATGGCTCGTATTATCGAAAGCTGCAATCGCCGATTTGCTTTTTTATTCCCTCTTCCGCTGCCATTCGACGATTATGTTTTATATGCGGTGGAAGTGGTAGATGCGATGCTGGTAAGGAGGGTGGGGATGGGGGTGGGGAGAATTATGTTTGAAAACACAAGAAAACAAAAAAGTGAAAAATAAAAAAATGAAAAAATACGAAACAGTGGAAAAAAAGACGGCAAAGTTTTTAATGAAATATTCGGTTTCGGAATCAACCGAGTGAAAGTCTTACGACCCAATCCGTATTAATAGAAATGTTCAAGCGGAAATGCGCGTAATCTGTTTTTTTTTATTTATCTTTTTTTTTATTTTAATTTTTTTTTTTTTTTTTTGTTTTTTTTTGTTTTTTTTTTTCATACTGTTTCCAATTTATTATACAGGCGGATGCCCACCTTTCCGATCGAATATACGTAAAATTTTTGGCTTTCTCTAATTTTTGCATATTCAAAGCGAGTTTATCGCATACGAATGATTCCAACTTTTCACACAAGGCTTTACAATAAAAATAATTGTTTAATACTATAAGCAAAAAATCTCACGCTTCTTTCGTTTGGATCTCGGATTTAATTAATCATTTTATGATTATATGTGGATACGTGCGCGCGCGCGCATGCGCATTATTTCGATATTATTGAAACTGTGAATAATTAAGTATGAATAATTCACGAGGCACATTATTCTCATGCCGAAGCGAAGGCGATATTAGCTCGCTTCGTGAAAAATTGAAATAATGAATTATCTCGTTTGATAATTCAATATTGTGCAGTGACTCGGGCGAGCTCGTTTCGTTACGCCTAATCTGCTGCTAGTCGTCGCGAATGAATTATTTGCGAGATTTGCAAAATTTCAATGATACGAGCATTGCGTAGGCACACGTGCACATACGGCCTCATATGGTCCCATAAATATCCGGTCGTCGTGCGCAATAGGACTTGTTGGTGTAATTTCAATTAGCCGTGTGTCGTTATCTAATAAAATTATCGGTCGCACCGTGACATAACGATTCGCGTTATCGACAAAATCATAGGCTCGCGACCTCTTCCCAATTCATTGGCATTCGATCGCGCTATCAAAGATTATCCTATTAAAGAGTAGACAGGACAAAGTGGCTCGACGGGGAGCTCCGCCGAGATAGCGTTTCCCCCATTTTCGTGTTGGATCGCGCGGATCGCGAAGTAGACGAGCAGCTGCGCGAGCTTTCAATATCGCGCATAACGCGCCCGTCGACTCGTCCTATAATCGGGACGACACGTACACGGTGACGCACACTTACGCAAGCCAGGGAGCATTAAGCATGTTATACAAACTGCCTCCTTACGAGGATGCGATTTAATCGTACATAATTTAGTGGACGCCTCCTTCGAGCCTCCTTCGAGCCTCCTTCCTCCTCGAATGCCGTGCTCGCGCGCATTATACACTCTTATATAGGTGGATAATTCGCGGGCGCTGAGCCGAGCCATATGAAGTTATTTTAAGGACTTTGTCGAAGCCCGTTATCGGGAATTACCGTGTATATTACAGCGTCGACTGGAAATACGCAGTAGTCGTGACTCTCCTCAACCCTGTGCGAGTGCGCGAACGAACGTTGTGTTTGCGATGTGTGTTTTAATGTTTGTAGGTAGGTAAAACTCACCGGTCGAATTCCGTTAGACGCGAAGAGTCCCTGAAGCCTTTGGCAAATGGGTTGCTGTCGATTTTCAGCCTCGTTATCTGAAAGTCATTTGGACACAACGAATTATAATTTCCTGTCCTTTAATAAACCTAACGATGGGTTTCTCGCGCGTGTGATATGGTGATATATGGTGATGTGTTGTTTGGTTGTTCTGAGCGATTACACGCGAAATGGTTTTATGAATTTTATCGGTACTCGTGTTTCGTTGGAATTTTCATAATTACGTCTTCGTAATCCCGCGATATCGTCGAGTGCGAGAAATTAACGGGTCAAATTTATTAACATACCCAATTGGGAATGCGATTGCATTACCGAGCAGCGAGATATAAAATTATAATGTGCATTGTAATCAAGTTAGTTGCGCGCGCGCGCGTTCTTATTCACTTTGTTGAGAACGAAGAAACAAAAAATGTTACTTCTGTTTGAAGCGCGAATGGCCTAGACGAGGCTAATTTCATTTCGAACGTTTGAAAGTAAAGCGCGCCATTTGCGCTCGATAACATTATCGTCGATATTACAAATATAAGCTCGAATGTCTCGCGATTCGAAATCATCTTTTATCTCCTTCATGTAATTTACGATAAAATATGAAAAATAATACATTAAACTACTGACCAGTTGATTTTGGTAGGCTGTGACGGCCGTAAAAATTGCCTCGGGAAAGATAAAGGTCTTGTGTTCCTCCTTCTCGAGATCCGCAATTTGCGCTTTTCCGTTGTTTCTGCACCTCACCAAGTGTATTCTCGGCTGATATCGATGCATCGAGTTCAATATAATCTGTAAAATACAAGGGAACGAGAAGCTGCGGTTATATAAGGATAAAAAAAAACAGTTGAACGCACGAAAATTTTACGAAAATCGCCACCGTCTTATTCACGTAATTCTACCTGTTTTTCATCTTCTTCTCTTCATTCTTTTTTTTTTCTTTTTTTCTATTTCTTTTAGCATCGACCGTTTCATCGGTTCAATAACCAAATGAAATAATAACGCTACTAATAATACGCCTCGAGACATATATTTTACGGCTTTATAGCGTAGCCCAGAATTGCACATGAAATGAAGACAAACGAAGAGAACATCGATAAATGCTCGCTTCTTACAATTGTCATTTAAAAATATAGGAATGAATTGAATAAGCAATTACGAAAAATTTACCATCAATATCTATCTATATATATATATATATATATATATATATTGATCTCGTCGGTTTAGTATCAAGATTCGATATATTATTATTATGCCTGCCAATAAAAACATGTCTTTGGCGTTATAAATTTTGTATCGAAATAGCAATGAATTCTGTAAAACAAGTTTTGCTAGTCAGCTAACGTAACATCCACTGTCAATATTTGCTCGATACTCATAAGTTCATAAATAAATGTAATGACAGTATAGCATTGGCGAAAAAAAGTGACATTTTATTATAGCAATAAAGTTACGCTGCTTAGATATTAGTAAATCAAAGTGGGGCGGTTTAAAGAAAATACGAAATGTCGATTAAGATTTGCTCATACACCAAAATGTGTAAACAACTTACTTGATTTTTTTTTTTTTTTTTTTGTATCTCTTATCTTTCTATTCACACAACATTATCGGACGTAAAATATTTTCTTTAGTAATTTTGTTTTATTTAACGTTATCTAACTTCGTTAAATTTTACACATCCACCATCACACTATTTATAAACATAAAAATACTACTTCGTATAAGCATTAAAAAAAAAACACAATTTCGCACATGCAAAACGAAAATATAGTATAGATATTTTGTATATCTTTATTTGCACCCACTGTATGAGCATTTCTTTCTTCCATACCCTTGAAAGAAAAGTTTGTATTTGTAAAAGCAATAGCAATAAAACGCACGCACATTCGGCTAAATATTAACGCAATAAGGAAATATCCCCTGAAAATCTCGATTAAAAATGACTTTGCGTTGATTATCCAATACCACGCCAATAATATCCAAATTACAAGCATTCGATATCAAGGCATTAAAATCTGCCTTCCTCTCGTCCACGCGCATTCCTAGCCGGCATCTAAATCCTATTCCCGTAGGAGAAAAAGAAAAAATAAAGATGAAAAAAATTTCTCCGAAGTGGCTGATTACCGGTAACGGACCAAATTCCACTTCGTCCACGATCCACGAACTCGGGATCTATCCGCCTACATCGAAGCAGCTACAAGTGCGAACGCAGAAGACGTTTACCCTTTTTAGCCATTATTTCGAAGGACGCATCGGCCAGCACATAATTAGCGGTTACGTGCGAAGGAGTTGGAGGAGTAGTCCTTCGTTACATCGAGCGCGACGACGTTAGCTCTCGCGCCTCATCCCTCCTCTCCCTCCTTCTCATTCTCCTCGCGTCCACGCGCTCCGGCCACAATAAGGAGCCACAGCCCGCTCTCACGCACGCGCACACCGAGGCGAGAAATAAGAAGCGGACGAAGAGGAAGGTCGACTTTGCCTTTCGTCTCCTTCTGAGCTACAAACGTGTGCGCGTCGCGCGTATAACTCGACGCGGGTTTCAAGTTCATTTCGAATTTATGGTAATAAGAGCCTGCTCTCGGATCGCCGAGGGACGCCTGCATGCACGCATGCGCGTATGCAACACCTCGAGCCCGAAGGATAATTGCGAGGGAGAAGGAGAGTGAGAGTGAGAGAGAGAGAGAGAGAGAGAGAGAGAGAGAGAGAGAGAGAGTGAGGGAGGAGTGAGGTGGTCCTTGTGTCAGGGGCTCGCAAGAGCCACTCGAGCTCGCACTCCATTGGGGCGGTAATTTTCATTTTCTCGAAAAACTGTCTTCTCTCCCCGTTGCCGACGTACGCAGATACCATCGCCATTTGCCCATTGGTGGTCGATGCGCGAAAATAACAACAAGGCCCCAGCTACCGGCAATTAACAAAGCCAAACGATAAAAGTCTCCGATTAAAGGAAAATCAGCGCGATTCCTCGCGATAATTTCATAATAACGGCTCTGCGTGCGCGCGGCGCCACTCCACCGGCCCAACCGGCCCCACCGGCCCCACCGCCCCAGGCTTACGCCCTATAATTAGGAAATTTCGAGGCTGCGCGCATGGGATGCTCCGATTAATGGAAAAAGCGGTGCCGACGATAAAGCCAAGAAGAAATCGCCTCTCTTCACGCGACGACAATAGGCGTACCTCGCGCGCATAAAAAAGAACAACCCCTTCGTGCGCCGCAGGTGCCCGTTTCGTCGTCTCCCCCACCCCCTCCCCGCCCACCGTCCACCGCCCTTGTAGGGGGAACCTACTATTCTTACTCACGCGGCGAAGGAGGGCGAGCGCAGCCGGCGCTCATCTGATAAACCTGTCGGACATCTCCAGTCCGGATAACTCACTTGGCTTCCGATGCCGAAAAGTCGGTGAAAAGAGGCCCAATTTACATCCCATCCCCGGATTTGTATTAGGTAGCCTCCAGATATTATCGAGATTGCAGCCGCTTGATTTCTCGCGGCGATTGCGCGACGACGCTCCATTACCTTGCTTCCATCTTCTCCGATCGACCGACCAGCCGACCGACCAGCCGACCGTCCGACCGTCCGACCGTACGAACGACCGACCGACCGACCGACCAACCGACCGACCGAACGATCGACCGAACGATCGACCGATCGACCGCCGCCACCTCCCAACCCCTCGCCGACCAACGATAACCGACTCGTACCCCTCCCGCCGCTGCCGCCACCTTCGCCACCGTCACTTTCGGACTTTTTCCTTCTTTTATGCCAATCGATCGTTAAAGGCGTCAACATTGGTTTCCACACTCGATTACTTGCACTACGACACTATACCACACATCGCATAAGCATAAATACATTTAATTGTTGTTATTACCAATACGACGACAGTTCGACTTCTTTTGTCGCGATTTAAATTGTTTTTTTCTGTTTTTGCGGCTCTTTGAAATAGAATAAAAAAATTAAAAAAATATGATTTTTCCCATTAGAAATTCAATGTCGGACGATAAGGCGTTACTGGACGCAAGTAATTAAACAAAATTGGACGACTGCATAAATTATTGATAATTTATATCTTCGTGTTATGCTAAATGGCTGGTTCACGAACGTTTGCCTCACTTACGGAATTATAACATCTTTTTTTTCATCAATGTTTTTCTTTTCTTTTTCTTTCTTTCTTTTTTTTTTTTTTTTTTTTTTTTTTTGTTTTTTTTTTCATTCCCTATAGAATCCAATCAATAATTGCTCGATTGAAAAAAAGTTTGAACTGTTCGTTGTAAGTATTATTATTCAAATTCTGATGATAATCGATATCCTTTATATATACACTGAATACATTATACTGTGGAATAAAAACTATATACTAAAATTGTTAACACTGTAATAATACACGAGCACGTCTTATAATTACATTGTAATTAAAAAATAGGAGGATGTCGTTGGATTGTTGTGAAAACCGATAGAAAAATTGTGATATTTGGCCGAAAAACATTTATGACTGGTTTGCGCGTGTTTCACATGGACACATAAAGCATAAAGCCGAACAAAAATCATCTGAATCGATCGTCGCGTAACTCGTCAAAACCCATTTAAACGACAATACGTGTTTGCGTATCGCCCAGCATCTTTCGCATATTGCGTAACCAAAGCGCAAAAAGGGAAATCTTTCAAATCTGCATTAAATATGTAGAAAATGATATAATCAGTCCACCGGACGAATTGCCGATAAGAAAACGGGTGAAAAAGTTCCCGCGTTCAAAACAAGTATCGACCAGCCGCTTGCAAAAACTGTTACGCAATTCTGCACAAGGACTGCAGCGGTGAAACATTAGTTATCTCTCTCTCTCTCTCTCTCTCTCTCTCTCCCTCTATATTTCTTCCGTCGCTAAACATATCGGAAACAGACGTATGTGGTCACAAGCACGAGTCCTACATGCACTCTCGAGAGATTAAAACGTTGGATAAAGAAGACGAAGCGAAGAAGAAACTGAGTGCTACACGTCTAAGTCACGATGGCGAGGTGCGAGGTGTTAATGCTTTGCTGTCCAACGTACATACTTACTCGTGTGTATGTGCACCGTGAGTGTGCATAAGAGAGTGAGTGTGTGTGTGTGAGAGAGAGAGAGAGAGTGAGAGAGGAGGGGCCGGCGATTTGCATGTGGCGATTTATCAAACAACGCGCCAGCCATGTAATACACGTTGATAGCGGCATTAAACGGCCGATTTATGCGGCTTTTTTGCGACTCAGACTCGCGCTCGCGTTATAACGGAGGCACATAATAGTCCGTAAGTGCGCATAAAACAGCCGCTCGGGGATTTTGCGGCTCGGCGGCGTTACGCACACGCACCAAGGAATTTCTTTTCTTCACGGCGGCGGTGGTGGCGGCTCCTTGGCGCTTAATACACTTCGCCTCGCGTTATACTTCTTGGTCGTTCCTGTTTTTTTTTTTCCCTCCACCCATTTTCCTCCCATTTTCCCCTCCCCAACATCTGAATCGCTCGCTCGCTCGCTCTCACTACCTCCCTCTCTCCCTACCTCTCGCCCGCTCCTTTTTTGCGAAAGCGACGCGAGCGCTTATTAAAGCATTACCCTCGTTTATCGGCGACACGTTTACGCGCTACTCGCCGTACAATAATCACGCCAATTACGCAATGTATGTCCAGGCCGATAGCGCTAATTAAGCTGCCTCGCGCGCGCGTGCTCAATTCAGCGAGACCTAGCCGCCAATTGGCATTTCTTCTCTCCCTTCACCCCAACGCCGTACAACGCGGCGGCCCCGGCTCTTTTTCCAATTTTCT